TGTTCAATACTTATTTTACCCGCTGTATATATATACATGAGATAAGGTCTCATAATTATGAGATCAGGAGTCCTATTTTTTAGTTTTATTTATTTATTTATTTATTTATTTGGTGAATGCAATGCTCTTCCGTACATCTCTGAGTAACAGAGTGAAATGTAAAAAGTGCTGCAACTGTCTGCCCTACTTTTAGCTTTTTAGTCAATGTTTTTTGTGTTTTTTTAACTTTAAGCTTACAGGTTTTAAAAACTTCATTAATGAGCTTCACTCAGAAATGACTTCCTCCTCCTTCCCAACATTTCTTCTCCTGATTCAGTTTTGTCAGCTGCAGAGTTCAGGTTTGGTTCTGGTCTTGGACCCAGACAGGACTTTAAATCTGAGAGAAGCCTGCAGGGACAGATGAAGAGGAGGAGTCTTCATCAGTCAGAAGACAATGATCCTCTTTATGCCTCATTTAACGGATGTTTGAACTTTCTCTGCAGAAGATATGAAACCTGAAATCCGAGCAGACTCCTCACCTGTTCCTCCTCTTCATCACTGTGAAGACTGATGAAGAGGAGCGGACGGTGATGAAGAGGTGAGGGGGCAGCAGATGTCAGAGTCAGCTCCCTGCGTGAGAACAAACCGCCCACTCTGCAGAAGACAAACTGCTGCTGGTCTTCAGGAGGGATCATCTTGGGTCTTTGTGGACCTCAGAACCATCTGGACCTCAGAGGGACACAGAACATCTGAGGAAAATAAAAAGGTTTTAGGTTCAACAGTCTGTTCACAACTCTTGTTTTTTACCCACATGTTTTCTTTCACATATTTTTCACACATTTACAGTTTTTATGACACAACTTAAATATATTTATTGTACAGTTCAGTTATTTTTTCACACATTTCTTACCTTATTTACAAGACAATTTTCTTTTTTGTCAGTTTTTAATCGTTTGTTTCTTGCACACTATTTTTAACTGAGTTAAAACAACAAACATTTGAAATGCCATTTTTTCATTGTATAATTTTATTAATATATTTTGATTTTTTTTAAATCAAACCATGTTTCCTTGCAGCTCAGTGTTCTGCATGTTGTTTTTTTCTGCTTCGACAGATATGATTTAAAGTTTTTACATATTTTGATAAAAGCTAAAGATGAAAATCTAATCATTTTAGGTGCAGATTATTGTTAGAATCATTGTAAAAAAAACTATTTTCAGTAAACAAGGAAGTGACTGCTGAATATATACAAAATGTCAGCTGTAGAGCTAAAGGTAGCAGAACACTAACTGAAAGCTAAAATTTGCAAAAGGCTGCTAATAACTAAAAACAGCTAAATTAAAGACGAAAGTAGTAAAACACTCATAACACTAATTAGAAGCTAAAATAGCAAAATACCTACAAGTTAAATGTAGTAAAGTATCTAAAAACAGCTAGAGATTAGCTGTAAGTCAAAATTGACAATGTTACATGTAGCAAATAACCAAAGGTTTAAAAGTTTGGTTAATAGCTTAAAGAAGCTAAATAAAACCTAAAACATCAACTAGAAATGAAAAGTAGCAAAAGGCTAACTAATAGCTAAATGTAGCAAAATAGCTGAAAGTGACAACAGATGAGCAAAAACCTACAACTGACAAAAAGCCAGTTAAATGGCTAAAGGTACCAGGCTGGCTAAAAGCTAAAAGTGGCAAAACACTGACTAAAAGCTAAAAGTGATAAAGGCTAGCTAATAACTAAAACCAGCAAAAGATTAGTTAAAAACTAAAATGAGCAAAAAGCTAGGCCATGTTAAGTATCAAAAGGCTGGCTAAAGGCTACAAGGATAAATAAATTTGTGAAATAAAAATTTGTTCAAAAATATAAAAGCTGCAAAGAACAAACATTTTAGTAGCTGTGCCCTGAATGAGCTGAAGAACAGCTTAAATTACGAACAGTCTACTGAAACAAAGCAGGGCTGTCAAACTCGTTTTCACTGAGGGCCACATGAGCGTTATGGTGGCCCTTAAGGGCCACTTGTAATAAACTTTGACGTTTCATGTTTAACTTTGACTCAACAGTGTTTTAACACGTCCTCTTTTAAACACTAAGAACTAAGTGTATTACTGACTAAATCTGAAATAAATACAGAAATATTACTAAAAGTAAAACTAATAAAGTTTTACTCACTGATGAGTTTATAGTGAGTAGCTGCATTATGTCAGATTTAATTTATGTCTGATGCCAACTTTAAAACAGCTTATTTTCAGACATTAATACTGGGCTGTCAACTAAATTGCTCAGTTACTTAAAGCTCAGGAGCAGGACAATTGTTATATTTCACCTTTTAAATTTATTTTGTTGCATTTAATCATAAATTTAAAGTTTACTGTTGATATAAGAAACAATTTTCATGTTTTTTTTTTTTTTTGGCCGGCCCATGGGCCCTTGTGTTTGACACGTGGTGTAAAACATGAAGAAAACAATAGCGTTCAGTGTTACCGGTTGGTGTTTTCCTGGTTCACATCAGTGAATTTCTGCACATCAGCAGGTTCTGCAGAACCCTAGCTGTCACAGACCCATCAGTTCCTCAGACGAGCAGTGAAACCTGCAAAACAGATGAACATTTTCTCAGAATCATGGAGGTTTATGTTGGTTGAAACATTGAAATCTGCTGCTGTGTTTTTGGAAACAAACAGAAAAAAGAAAAAGCCCTGAACACAAACCGTCCTCGAAGAAATCGATCCTTTGGTTTTTAGAGCTTCTTCTCTGCTGGAGTCGTATTGATTTTTAACTTTGCTGCTATTCAGGGAAAAGACAAGACATCTTCCACATCTTTGCTGTCAGCGCGCGCACAGACACACAAACACACAAACACACACACATTCTTGTATTTGCATCAAACTGAGTACTTTGTATTGACTTCCATTCATTTTTGTATTCATGCCTAACCCAGACATTTTCCCTAAAATTAACCATTACTGGTTTATAGTTTACACTAACTTGAAGCAAACCTCAACTAACCAGTAAAGCACAGCAGAGCTGCAAACAAAGTGAGGACACTGAAGAGGTCCTCACTTTACATCAAAGACCTCACTTTGATAGTGCAAATGGTCCTCACTCTGTAGTCAAAATACACATACACACACCCCTACTATGTCTCTCTATCCTTGTAGGGACTTTCCATTGACTTCCATTCATTTTTTTTTTTTTGGAAATTTTATATCTTAACCCTGACCACAAACCCTGATAACCTCACAGGTTAGGCACCTGACCCTAAAACTAACCTAAACTCAATTCACACCTTGGTCGTAACCCCACCACCACCACCACCACCACC